TGCTTATGCAAATACAAATTTTTGCGGGTTAATTTGCAGGAACTGAACTTTACACATGATTTTGCCAGGTTCCAAAGAAAACAACAAGTTGTTAAAACATTGATGGAACTCTTAAGTAGGAGGACATTCTAAAGAATCGTGTGTGCTATAAATGCATGAAATCTACAATCTAATATGATAAGTTATGTATTGCGAAATTGTTGAAAGGACATTCGTTTAAATTTAAGGTAATAAAACGGTTTGTGGTACGGCACACCCGAACGGACACGATGCCCTCGATTCGCTAAATCGGCTAAATCGCTAAATCATCGACTTTTCGAATCAATTAACTCCCATAATGGATAAATTCCTCGTGGTTGCCTCGCAGGTAGCCAATAATTCTCCAACCTCGTTCCACCGTTCTTCCCCCGATTTTTCTCCTCGATTAATTAACTCCTTGGAGTTCACGGTTCGCGACAGATACGCGTTGTCCGGTCACGGAACACCGATACACTATTAACATTAACAATACCAGGGGAAACCGTGGTCAGAGGAAGCGGATTGTTGTTTATCGAAGGGATAACGGGGTCGTGGTCATAAAAGGGGATGAGCAAGTAACGAGTACGCGAAGAAAGGGACAAAGGGAGACGATGGATGTAGAGTATAATTGCCATTTGTCCAGACACGTGCGTATATCGTATACATATGTACCATATATGTAGACGGCTCGGTTACAGCCACCAGCCACGACTGCTTCCCGTTAAAATTGAGAACTGTATTTTCTCGAAGATCGACAGGGGGAGTACAGTACTCGGTAAAATTTTTCAAAATACTAATCTTTTATTTCGTAATTTCTAATACGTAGCCGTATTCTTATAGCTTATGCCTACATATGTATATTAATGATCGACGCGACGATTCCACTCGACCTCGATCGTTTAAAATAATTACAATTTCAAAGCAACAAATTTTCATAGTTAAAAAATGCTTTCTCACTTGAACTGAACAATGTTCTTGTTGTGTCTCTTTCGTGTTTTTCTCCGTTCCACCATCAGATTTATTCGTCTTCTCCTAGCGCGCGATAACGCGCCGCAATTTTCTCTAATATGTATAATCCACTTTCCTTCGGCGCGCTCTGTTAATGGGATGGCCGCGGCGAAGTTTCCTGAACGTTGCCCGAGGAAACGTTAAAAGTTTCAAACTCCTCCGGTTCGCTCCCACCTCGAGGAAAGTGTAATATCCGCGGACTCGAACCCGTGTCGATCAACGTTGCACGCCTCGAAACTGCTTCCTTTCTATTTCTATCGTTCCTTTCGATAGTCTGGGAGGATCCTCGTTTCTGAGATTGTTGGCCACTCTGTGGCAAACGACTCGTGGACTTCTGGTCTCTCGGAAACCATCGCGCGTTTAACTCTGATATTCTCCTCGAGTTTACACGTATGTATATAAGAATTTCTTCTCGATCAATCCTCACAATCTTCACAATCTTCACAAACTGTTTTTACCAAACAGTAGGTCGAGAGGTAATTTACACATAATCAAACTAAAGAAAGTGATACTCAGTTGGAGCTTGTACATTTAACGCGGTCGAAAAATCTCACGACAAAAGCGGCATCGATACGATCTTCCGCGGCGGCAACAATCGTGGGACCAGTAATCGCGGAGTAGAATGGGGAAAACGGAAGCATTGTCAGCGGTCATTGGCACAGTGGGCGTTTAAACAGGACGCTGTCGCCGCCTTCGTTCATCCTTTTCTCTTCCCTTTTCTTTCTCTTCGTTCCATTCCGACGATTGACCGAGAAATCGAGGGAAATTAACGCGACTGATGACGAGGCTCGGCGTAGAGGATTTGAAAGGATGTCTCGAATGATCGCTGATCAGAGGCTTAATGCTAGAGAACGCGATGGGAAATGCGTGGTTTAACGATGTGTGTAATTTATCAGTGTATATGTATATGTATATGTATATGTATGTATGTATGTATAGATAAACATAAACATATACATGTACATATATGTATATACATACTTATACGTATACATACAGAGGTAGGCGTTTCTGTAAATGGTTATAACTTCAAACTTAAAGAAAAACAATGTTGCCCATGAAGAAAATCCTGTCCCAAATATGAAGAAATTTTCACAATTGACGATCCTCCGATTTTATCCGTCGTTCGTCTGAATCGGATTCTTCCTGATCAGTTTGTGTTTTCATCTGTCAATTGCTGGAGGAATCCAGTCGAAGGATCCAAGACAGATCAGACCGCTAACGATTTACAACTTGCTTCGTACTCTAATTATCTCATTATCATTCCGTCGGGCCCGTAATTACCTCGTTAACGTCTAACGAACTCCAATCTATACCGCAACGGAGGCGGTTTTTTTTTTTCTTTATCCCCGACGATCGATTCAAGTGCGTTGGACTACAGACCGCGCATACTCGGTTTCCTTTCGCCTAAAGACACTTTCGTTTAAACATTCTCTTTCTCCTCTGTTTTTTAACACTGTAGGTAATTGAACCATCTGCCCCTGTCCATGTTCTCCATGTATACATATATCTGTTTAGCTATCTAATCGGTTGATGTATTTATAATACCGCGTTTCGTTTGGTGCTGTTTGCCGTGCACTCGTTTCGACTCGTTTGCGCAATTATCCTTTGACGTATCGTGTCCCGATTGCCTATCCACGTATCTGCGACCACGGTTCACCCTCGTATCGATAACGTTCGATTATTAGATTCTACGCAGCATTTGTATTTCCACGAATCGTGAGTAGTTCCTAAGGGAGGAACTACAGATAAGTCTCGAACAAATCTTTATTGTTAATTAACGTCGAACTGCGCTCCCCTCTCCCATGGAGAAAACATCGATCCATTGTTGTGGTGCCATATCATGCAACTTTTGTTGAAAATATTTTTTCATACTGCCAATAATTTCCGATTAATTGACGCGATCACGTTAGCTGAACCATCCTGTGCAGGTTACATTTATCATTGCTGTTTAATGCCTTTAATAGTGTTCACCGAAGCTCGTGAACACTAGGACAGAATCGCTTTCAGCCAGTTCTCTGTTGGTCTCCACTATCGGTTTACTTGCCCTCACAGAATCACAGCCCTACATTACCATTTCAGAGAGCGATACAACCGAGGAGGTCGCCTAGAATTCAACGGATGCAATTCCAAAGGCAAACATTTACCGATCGACAATTTCCAATTATTCCAACCGCTGCTCTCGAAGTTCCGTCACCAAAAGATCCTCCGATCCAAGAGGAACAATCGTATGTTTCTCCTCGACAGAGAGGAGAAATCAAGTTCAACGAACCCAAATCGATCTTCTTTTCGTTCGTAAAATCGAGCTCTGGACAGTTTACCTTGCATTCGAGAGATCCGCCCCCCCCCCCCTCTCTCTCTCTCTCTCTCTAGTTGCACACTCGCGTCGGACCCACGGACAACGGCAATAAATTTGATTGGAACTAACAAATTGTCACGCTCGTCTCGAGAAGGAAGAGGCGACGTCGTTTCAGGCCACTTCTTCGTAATGGGCAATTGTCCCAGGCCACCAGTCACCAGCACTCTGTGCGTCCCAAGTAAATAATAAAATCGTTCCCCGTCAGTAGAGTCACCAGTACTCACCAGTAGTAGTCCTCCTCCATGCGACACACACTCGTCAATTTCTGTGCACGAACTATCCATCTGCAATTCTTCGACCGATTCTCGGGAAACGTTCTTCCTCGGACTATACGTACATGTATACCAGTGATACTCGTTGAAATCGTGAATTTGGTTTTCCAGGGGACATGAATATTTTACGGTGGTTGTTTTGTAGTAAATTATTGGACGGTTCGGACGTTTGTGGGAAATGGAATTAGGAATGGGAAGAATTATGGTTGGGGTGTTTTTGAATCTACATACGATCCCTTTTGTGTATCCCTTTTTGTTCTGCTAACGTGCATATTGATTTGTTATTGCCCTGTTACCAGCTATATACAAGGATTTCATTTGTCGAAGTGAAACCAGGAAATTCATTTGTAAATCGAATGCTCGATCGTGAACGATAGAGTTTACGGGGGTCGCTATGTTGATCCAGAGGCGTTTCGTCGACAATTCTCACTCGTGAAAGCATCAGATCGTAGGGCTACACACCGATACTTACTCGTTGCGAAAATATCCCGGACTGTTCAACCGAAGAATCAAGATTGCACGTGTCACTGTCTCGAACTGCCCCGTAAAGAAGACTGTCAACATTTCAACTTTTACGCCCTCGTCTAATCCCACCTGAGGACGTTTACTGCGAAGTATTTTTTCAAGATTTTGATCATTATCTCCTTTAGGAGACTCTATAAAATTTTATGCATCTCGACTCACGGACAATTCGACTTTTGTTTCTCAACCCTTTTTTTTTATGTTTATGTTTATGTCGAATATACTCGTCATGAAAATATGGCATTTCTCTGCCTAAGTATACTCGTCATTAAGCAAACAAAATTTACATTTAGAATACTTTGGAAGAAAAATAAAAGTAAAGTAGTATATTTTTTTGACAATAGATAGCGCGAATTATTTCAATTTTACAGCAAATCTCAAACACTTGGGCAGAAAAAAGGGTTAAAGATGCTCATCGTGTTTTCCAAAAGAAGGGAGAAGGAACTGTGTATCTGTGATTTGACCGAAAATTCGATTCTCGAAGATCGTGTTATTCATTCTGCAAAAAATCATCCTGGTTTTTCAGCTTTATCGAACCAAAGAATCGGGCGAGGATGGCCCGATCGAGAAGGAAGTCGCTACATAAAGTCTTTCTGTTGCCAAAGAGACCGACAAAGTAAACATTATAGAGCAGGTTTAATTTTCCACGAATTAATGAATATAAATATGTACATATGTATACATGTACATATACATATAGACGAAGTTTTATTTTGGTGAATTAAAAGCAGTCTCAAGGACTTGAAAAGGAAAAATTGTTGAAAGAAATCCAGGATAAATTCAACGAAGCGAGTCAGAGAAGAATCGAAGGTCGCTTCCAGATGAAATTTCGCAAATCCTCCGCGTCCAGCCCCAAGATGGAATTGCTGTCGAGGCGGTCATCGGGCGACAACAGGATTTCGACCTTGAAACGGTCGAGGTCCTTCCGTGCGTCGTTGAAGCTGATGTCGAAGCTTCGTGTGCATGCGAATCTCCGTCTGAACGGTGGCTTCGATTTATCACCCATAAAGAAACACGACGAACAACCTCGTGAACGGGTGAACAAACTATCCCTGATCGAGGAGTCCTCGACTTCTTTGAACAATACCGATGACAAACTCGAGAATCCACCGAGAATCGACGACAAGAATCTTCACGATCCACTGACCGGACAATCTGACGACGTCGAGTCCCAAAGGATCACCAAAGACCTAAAAAGCAAATTGTGCCTGACGGACAGGATAATGAGGAAGAGCCGTAAGGACCCAGAAAAAGCCTCGAAAAAGCCGAATAATCCGATATCGCCTAGGATGGCTCATATCTTCCGTTGGAAGAGTTGCGAGGAGAGCACCGGAAATTTCGAATCCTCGAACGACAAAAAGGTCGAAAAGGATGATTTTCGTCCTGAACGTGCCTCCTACGAGAATCCCACGTTCTGTTTGGACAGTTCTCTGGACTCTTCTGTATCGAGTTTTTTGTTCGAACCAGAAACATTGGATCGATACAACGAGACAAGTGAGTGCAAGGACGATTCTTCTGAGAAAGCCTGTTTTCAGGACGCTGGATTGACACTGGTGATCGATTCTCGAGGTACCAGCGGACGTAGATGCGTTCAAGGAGAGGTGAACGGTAACGTGGAGAGTTTCCTCCAGTGTAGTAAACACTGTGCTCGTCCTTTGATAGCCGGTACCAAAGCCAGAAGCCTGTCTGTGAACGATGTGGTCCTGCAAGATGACGAGGGACCGGTCAGTTTGGACTTGAACGCTTATCCTTTCGAGTCTCTGTCCCGTCACGGACAGGATCTCGTCGCTAAGGGCAGGAAATCGCCGGAAATAATCAGGAAAACTTCCGTTTGCACGTCCAAGTCCTGCAGGATCAGGACCGTGGATAATATCGCGAGTTTCTGGTCGAACGCTCGAGGTGGAAGCTTTCGGAGCAAGGTCACCGTGGGCCGGAAGAAGTCGACAAAGGACCCGAGGGACCACCACGAGTCCATCGGTCAGGATAGGATCCTGGTTACGACCACTTCGGGAACAAGTACGGGCAATATTAGGTTTTTAATTAATGGTGACTGATTCGGTTCGGTCGCCTTCGATCGTCAGGCACACACGGAAGTTCGTCAACTTTCGTGGTTTATATTTAGTTGAGGGATCATAGAAGAGATTTTCCGGTATTATTCCGCATTATTGAGATAAAGGTGACACTCTTGATAATCATCATTTATGTAGCTAAAACGAGCGAGGAACATTGGATAGACGTGAAAAACCAAACGAAAAAGGAAAGTATCTCATCTCTATGCGCGTCATACTATGCTCGTTGTTTTTAGACTCGATTCCCTCGGTATCAGCCGTTTGCTTTCACGATAAAAAAAGAAATGCCAACGACGAGATTCGGTTCGATCCTATTGAAATGCCGCTTATTTTTAATCCAAATTCCGATAAAGTGTTTTTCGATTAAATTCGCATGGGCAACAAAGAATATTAATGCTGTCAAGGTTTATACTCTTTTGTGTATTGCATTGAATTAACAAATTTATTTTATTTGTATTCTGTTTTCTATTGTTTCTTCTTTATTAAGTTTTGTTTTCTGTTTATTTCCACGCAGAGCTGTACTCGTTGCAAGGGATGGAGTTCCTGGAGGGTTTCGGGAAGAAAAAGCAACAACCAAATCATGCGAATATCGTATCGTCGGTGCATATCAACCCCCTATCAGCACAGTCCCTCAACATCCACCTGCATGGTATTTTGTTTATTTGATATTTGTTTTTTCTTTCCCACTCCTCACGCTCATGCTTGATCGCGTTCATTCGATTCTCGTTTCCGTTAGAAATTTCGATAGAGCCCGAGGTATATCGAGCCTTCTCGAATTTCCATTTTAATCGTCATCCCTCGATCGAATTTCCTTTACCGTTATTTCGCGATTTGCAGTCCGTCTACGTTTCATTTTTACATACTTCGAAAGATAGATTTTTCTCGACAGTTACAGGATATACATACCTGGAGAAACAGACTTTTTAATCTGTTCGTGAAATGCACCGCGAAATAAACTAAATCTGTGTCCTTTTGGTTCTTCTGTCCGATTTTAGCTCTTTTCGCTGCTGTGGAACATGGCCACCTGGACAAAGCCAGAACGATTTTGGAGTCGACAGACGTGGACGTGAACAGGTGAGAGTCTTCTTCTATTAATCCTTATAATAATAATCCTTATAGTAATAATAATAATACTAATACTAATAATAATAATAATAATAATAATAATAATAATAATAATATATTTATTCATTTATAAACGGGTTATGACGACTATACATACATATGTATGTATAAAAAACTAGAAGAATAGACAAGAAAAGTTTTATTACGTTTCCTCTGTGCTGGCGCTTGAATACTTACCCCGAATCGTTACTCTTACAATCCTTCCAACCTCGAGTAAAAAGAGGTTCTTGACTGGACACATGCGCAACTATGCGACGTCACGCGCTGATTTGAAACACGACGAAATGACCAACCGGGTGGCACTCCGGGATGTAGGTTAATTGAGACTGGTAATTAATTTTCTCGACCGTTCCAGAAAACAAGCCAATTAACGAACGATCGAACGATCGAACGACAACCGCGTGGTAGGAAGCAGAAGACTCTCGTGGATTCTCGAGGGCTCATCGATACGAAATTTCTTCTTGTTTTTTTTAAAGTCTTTGAAAAAAATGATACATCCTGTCACTCTGAAAGATCCTTCGAATACTGTCAGTGTTGCCAACGTGTATGATGGTTGTGCTGAATAATTATTGTCTTCATTTTTCATTATTTTTAAGTCTGGCCGTCACAAATACTAATAACATAGGTCTTATATATCTTAATAAAGATTTCTTTTATTATTTATTTATTTATCTAACAGGCAATAAGCCCTTTGGTATACCTACATGTACAGCATGTGAGATTACAAAATTATAAAATTATGAAAATGAAGAAAAAAGAAAGCTGAAGTAGTTTCCCAGAGAATAGCTATGCCTGATTGTGTGTGATTGTATGTGTGGTCTGATAAACAGGAGACAATGAGAAATTTTTACGAGCCGTTTCTGCCGTTAACTCCCACCCTAAATTCGTTATCCTACCCTCGTAGAAAGTGGATTCCAGTGTTTCCAGCAGGAAATTAATGCACGCCAGGCCAGTTATTATTACAGATCGTCGAGAGTACCATCAGAATCTATTTAGCGAATTTTTATACGTGCTCTGTCCGTTCACCGTGTACGTTAATTCTGCGTTTCGACGCGTCGAAAATGCTCTCGAGACATCGAACCCACCACCGTCGTCTCTACGTACACTAATCCCATCGATCCGTGACAGAAGGCTCTTTAGATACATAGCAATTCCCGACGATAATTCGATTCCGTTGACCGGACGACGGACAGTCGTGGATATTCCATCGGGCGGATCCCGTGGCACTGTGGCACACGGACGTTAATTCGTTTACACCACACCGGGGCTCCTTGTGTCGATCGGACGTGTTCGCGAACGTGGAGGCCAACGTCACGAAGGAAGAATTAATTGGTTTTTTTCGTTTGCTGCACACGCTTCACCTCCCTCCGAGTGAAAGATCGAGATTTTCTGGGAGTCGTTACGCGTGGTGATCCGAAACCTCTGCAGGCTTCCTGCTGTCATGGGAATGTATTGGTCTGTTCGGCTTTGGAATCTTATTTGTCATATTTGACATTTTATTGACCGGTAGCCTATCGAAAATATGTAGACTTTTAAATTTCACCGATTGTAGATGAGAAGCCTTCCTTCCGGAAGAATTCATTCTCCTTACTTAAGGGGTACTTAACACTGACACGTACATATGTATACATATATGTATTAGTCAGCTGTTTGTTAAGTTTAGCTTTTCTTTTATTCAAGCATCGTTCCGAAACTCTAAATAAAGTATTCACTAGGAAATTACCCAACTAAAAGGATTTCGTTGGACGTTTCCCTCGAGAGCTTTCTCGTTTCACACAGCTGCCGTGTTCGATAAAGAAATCCACTTCCTGGAAAAACGTTCCTCGAAACTAATTCATACGCGAGATTAGGTAGGTAAAACTACGTGAAAGACACGACGATCTTTCGATTACTAAATCAGAATGAATCTAGGCCCTAGGCACTCTCGTCGCGTCTCTCGATCGAAGTGCCTATGTAGGTACGTTGTAGCTTGTTCTGTGATCTATCAATGTCGTCGATCGATGAACAAGATCATCCTCGAATCTGGATCCCTGGATCGACGTTTGATAGGTCAGCTTCTCTGCGTCGTAATCACCACTGAATGTCCATTCTCCGGCCGATGATAATCCGTTTATCCACTTCGTCGTCTCTTTGTCCGGGGTCGCTAATAGCGGCTAGCGCAAGAGCTAGTTTATGCCGGAACGAAAATTGGTGACGATTACCGCGCGGAAACGGGCGCAATCGGTCGCCTTCCGCGTGCAGATTGTTCTCTAGAATTTTCGCACGAATTAGTCGCCCCTTTTCCAGGGATCGAGTCTAAGGCATTTTAGCTGCGTAGAAATATGAGACCACATGACTGTGGATCAGCGAAACGCCCATATACTTTAAGCGCCATTTATGGTCCTTATGTAACAAATACTGTGAATCTAATATTTTATGTATTTGGGAAAATCAGCTGTATTAGTGTAAACTAAATAGATGAATTCAATGATCTGTAATATCTTGCTATCAAAAGATACGAGTTTGTACAGTCGGTCAGAAAAATAACACTCTCATGATCGTTATAAAAGTGTAGGTACCGATCATTCGTTCTGAGTGCTTTGGTGGTTCAACTGTAGGTATTTATTGTATAATACAATGTAACAAGTCGTTTGTCACTGTTCGAATGTACCAAGGGAATGTAGGATCAAGAAAAATCTTGTCAGTGATTTTCTATACATTTTTCACCATATCACCTCAAGATTCTCTTTTGCATCTCGCGGTATGTAAATCGCTGAGTCGTATTCGTTCAGACAAGTGGACTTTACATATGAACCACGATGACCGAAATGAAAAATTGAGTCCTGTTTAAATCGGTCAATTAGCGTCTCCCCGCAACTGACGACAGCCTTCAATTGGATTTTCAGCGTGAACAGCGACGGTCTCTCGGCCCTGGACGTCGCGGTGCTCAGTAACAATAGGCCCCTGGCGAAAATGCTGGTCTCGTTCGGCGCGCAGGAGGGCAACCAATGTAAGTATCCACGAGTTCAATTACAAATTCGATCTGACGACCGTACAATCGCGGTTCACCGCCGCAACGAACCTACTGTATCGATTTCGTAACACTGGAAAATCACTTTCTTCTCCGAATTAATTCTTTCCCGTAGAAACCAAGAGAGAAAATTCGTCGTTGGTATATGAAAAATTTGTAGTATTTTTTTTAGGAAAATCAGCCGTGACGCTAGACTTAGAACGGCAAAAGAACGATTGTAGTAGAGGTGTAGAAACGGATGGAAAAAACAGTCGAATGGGATGGGATTTCAATTAGGATTTCGCAGTCTGTAATAAAAATGCCATCGAAATGGCATCAAAATAAAACCGGAGAGAGACCCACTAGATTCAGAACGAAGAAGAACTTTTCATCCATTTTTTCCCCTTTTCACCACCCCTTTCTTTCCATGCGTTTCGGTGATAACCCTGAACGTATATGTATGTATTACTACATAGGTATTGCATATACATATGTATGATATGTACAGTGTGTTTAAAAGAAAAGGAACTAAGACTTTAGGTGATCTGGACTGCAGAAGTTTATGCAAATTCACAATTTCAGACACTAGTATACGTATAAAGATTAAGAAAAAACACAAGGTCATGAAATTGTATCCATCCGATGCGACCCTTAAAGCGCTACATATCATTAATTAAAACGTTTGTTTGATAGAGCCAATAGGTATCGAATTATTTTAGATAGTAATTTTAGAACAACGATTTAAGGAACTGGCCGTTAAAGGGAGTTAATAAGAAAAGAATGAAAAAGATACAGGCCAGTAGTATAATCCTTGATCTTTTTATTACATTTTTATCAAACACAAATAATTGTTTGTAGGTACCTAATATGTATTAATGAACTTGTTTCGAACTTCCTATTCTGTAGTAATTCGCGATAGAATTGTTATTTCCTCGTTAAATTTGTATTAATCCTTTCCACAAAAGCAGTAAAATAATCTCCACGTCGAGATTATTCGTCCTGATAGAAACTGGAAATCGATAGCCAACACGGAGCCACAATAATTGCGGTGAAACGGTATCGCAGAGCGGCCATCCGTTCCGCCGATGCGATTCGCCTCTGAATGTTACATTTGTAAATATCATAACGAGTGAATCGCAGCTCAATTAGCAAGCATTTTTACGCGACCGCCATCGCTGACGACAACAAACCACCGCTGATTTGTACAATTTAACCGATTACATACATGTTTCATCCCCGCCGCCGCACCGGTAGTTGTTTTCGCTCGTTTCTTTCGTAATTCTCTGCAACGGGAATCGACCGCCTCTTCTTGGGTGAAGAATATTCGACTTTAACAATCTGCAATCACGTAACAAAACTATTAAAAGACTAAAAAAGGACTGAATTTCTAGTTGAGGATATTGTAAATTGGGTCGGACAAACAACGTTCTCCTCGAACGTGTTATGTAGTTATCCAGTTTTCTTTGAATTTTCTCGACTACGGAAAAAAACAAAAACTTGTGTTCATTCATTGCCGACTAAACTAATGGAGAAAAACGATTACATAAAAACAAACATACACATCGAATTGTATAATGACTCCTTTTTGAAGTCGCTCAAAAATTGATTCTCCCTTTTTGACCTAAGGGTCGAAACAGTCGAAACAGTCGAAACAGTCGAAACAGTCGAAACAGTCGAAACCTCTTTTGTGTCATTCAGAAGAGTCGAAAGAATTTTCGAAACGCATTGCGACTCGCGACACGTCAAAGAAATTTTGTCTACGATTTCACGGATAATGGAGTTTAAGAAAGGCCTGTTTATTGATTTTCACAGTCAAGTCTCCGGAATCGCTGGGCAGTCACCTGGCCTCGTTGCTGTCGGAGGCGGAGCACAGGGTCCAAGAACTCGGCGGCAGTACTTCCGGTAGCAGCGGGACCACCCTTTTAGAGCCACCGAGCAGCCATAGGTCGAGTTTTTCGTCCCAGCACAACAATCTCACGGGATGTGGCGGTAGCACCGAGGACAAGCAACTGGCTCTCTGGGAGAGGAGGGCGAGAGCACTTAGAAAGATGTTGCTTGGATTCGATCAAGCGAGTAAGTCATCCTTCGAATCACGAAATCCTTGAAATGTACCTCGTAACAAACAATATCGTGATAAATAAAATCTGCATGGTATTTTCTCCGTTCAGGACCGCCTGATATGCCATTCCTGGTCGCCGTCGACGTTACTGGGACGAATTCTGTAACGATGAGGTTCCAGGAACCGGATTCCCACGACTCGCCCATCTGCACGAAGTTCAAGGTGCAGTGGAGCATCGACGAAGACTTCTCTGTGATCTGCGGCGAAAGGGATGTTCTGGATATGAAGCAGAGGGAGTGCAGAATGGACGATCTGATTCAGGGACAGAAGTACTATTTCCGTGCGGCTGCTGGGAATCTGAAGGGCTACAGCAGGTTTCGGAACTCGACGCCTGCACACGTCACGCCTAGCAGTACGATTATTGTTTAATCTTTCGATGATCTGAATCTTCACCGAAACTTTACCTTGAATATTCTTTAGACTTGCATCATCTTTATATTTTGCTCTACCATATGTGCGAACGCGTAACGAGTCGATTTTAGCTTTCTATCCGTGTAAACCAGTCGTTAATCTTCAGTTCGTAGAAGCTCTTAACGACACACTGCTGACTGAACGATTGTTCTAGGTTGGAGGGATATCGATGGCAGGGTGCCAAGGTTCGCCGGCCGGTTGGAGCAATTGAACACTCTGTTCACGGACATCAGACGACCGGAGTACACGCAGGAAACACCGGCTGTACAGAGGCGAAATCACAAGAAGAAAACAACGATCAAGCAACTGTTCACGGCGACCAGTAAGTTTCAGAAGAACCTGAGACGCGGGGTTTTTCTTGCCTGTTTGCTTTACCACGAGGACAAGGTACTGGTGACCAATGAGGATTTCCTGCCAGTGATCGAAATCGACGAGACTTACCCTAGTTGCATTTACAACGACTTTCATTGGCTGATGAAAGTGGCCTGCACTTGGGACGACGTTAAGACCCTTCGCCAGGACATGGAGAAGAGCCACAGCAGCTCGACGAATCACTTCAGGATAAAGCTGCTGCAAGCTGCTGCGCAAATGCAGGTCGGTTCAGTGTTTCCGTGTGAATTGATTACAAACGTGATTCATATACTTCGCTTAAATATTCCTTCTTCTAATGTAGAAAATATCTAATGATTCTCGTAGGCAGCACTTTGCATACAAGACCTCGGACAACTGTACCATAAACCCATCAGAGACATCCAAGGAACCCTGGTGTTTTCGACAGTGAACTATATCAAGTCCCCGAAGCTTATCTCGGTATTAAACAGTAGGTGGTTGCCTCTGAGTAAAGTCACGAAGAAAGTGATAACTCACGAGGATAGTAACGTGGCGGATATCCTGATATCCAGTATACAGGAACAGATGACTTACCACCAGGTCAGCAGTATTAAACTGTCCAAAGGACTGTATCTGGGGTACCTGAAGATGCAGAGTAGCGTGGATCTTATACAGGTCGTTGTGCCCGCAAAGTCACCGAATGTTCTGCCTCACTGTAAGATCCGCGACAATCCTCATGTGTCCGCGTAAGTGTCGTGTTACGAGCTCTACGAGCAGAGTAGTATTTACTTGCAGGTGTAGCGAATCTTTGCCTTTTATTTCATTCCAGCGAAGAGTGGGATTATCTGAAAAGGATAACGCGCATTCAGGCGTCAGATGTTTCGGTGAAAGAGATAGATGTCGAGGAAAAGGAGAATGTAACGAATGAATCGCAGGGTACCGAGCAACAAAAGTTGTTCGTTGACCTTGTTGCTGCAACCGTCAGACGACTATTCAATTATATGGAGATCAGCCCCGAGGACTCTTTATGCCATCGACTGTACGACGCCGAAGTCATTGATCTGACTCACGATGTGTCTTTCCTCATTGCCGTACCTCCAGCGGAGACCGCTTGTTGTGTGCCAGGAACCAGAGAGATTCTTTTGCAAAGGGGCGATTTGTTGTCATTACCGATTCAAGTGTTCGAGATGGTCCATTTGAATACGTACCAGAAAGACGTAATCAACAGATACTCAAGATTAAGCTGTATCCTGGAATTGGATACAGCGCAGGCTCAACATAATCACAGAGAAGCCTTCAGTTCCCTGGAGTTGAGCGTGGCGAAGGACAAGTTGGTCAGGCTTCAGGATCTTCAGACGCAGGTGAACACGGTCTGGAAGGGGGCCAGATGGCTGATAGACGTGATCACATTCGCGAGGGATCGAGGATCATCACAGCAAAGTGTAAGCGTTCTCGGCCCATCGACTCTTTAATCTCTCGTTCTTTAATCTCTCTGTTAAACATAAGACTCAATACTTGGAAACTCTACATTGTAGGTAGCGTCGCAGACAGTTGGAATTTCAATGAAGCACTTGCTCAGTCTAGATAGGAACAGAAGTAACAGTAATAGTAACAGCCTGAAGAGAAGCTTGCTGCAGTTACCGCCGCGGGATCCGAAGCTCGTCAAGTCCAGTCCAGGTCGAGGCAGCTGGCCGGGACCTAACATAACCAACTCGTCCTCGAATCTTCTGACGACGGAATTCAGCAAAAGCGAGCAACAGCTGCCCAGCGGTCAGTACATTCGCAAAGGGAGTAACACGTCTAACATTTCGACCGGTTCGGAGCCTCCGAAGTCCTCGGTGCCGATGAGCAGCACCAGCAATCTCAGCAACACGACCAGCGCTGGCAGCAACAACCATCTGGTACCGTTGCAAAACGCGAGGCTACCGCCCTCCAAGTCCGAGGACACTCTAATCCTGACGAAATATAAACACAGCCCCAGGAATAGGTCAGCAACGATCACGTCCGCGTCGGCCAGTACCAGCCCGTTGCTGAGCATCAAGCCGATCATCTACGGCGGTTCAATGTTGAGCGTGTCCACAGCGATGACGAACACAACCAGCCTGCTCAGCGTCGGTAACACCAATTCAGACAGTTTACACTCGTTGAGCAGCGACGAGTACTCGACACCGAACTCGAGTGTCTGCATAAAAGGACACGTGAAAGGGAAACCGGCCAAACCCACCGCCAGTGTTGCAGCGATGGCGACCGGCTCATTGGAAAGTCAATTGGAGGAGGAAAAGGACGAGGCGACGATGATGCCAGCACCTCTGCCTGGCATTCTTCAGGTAGACCATACTATTTTCTAATATCAAATTAGTCGGATAGCGATTTTAGTTTAAAGGGATTGTAGTTCTAGTCACGCTAGGTGGATGAAAGTATAGTCTGTTGTCGAGTTAAAAAGAAAAAGACATTTAGATTACCATCTTCGCGAATGTCTTCTTCCGGTTAATGGGTTTTTCAATTATAATCGTGTGATTCATTGGCACAAATCGCCTCAGTCACTTTTTGTACCGAAACAAAAAAACTGTCCTGTCTCTCAAGCAAGCTTTCTTCAGAACACTCGTTTTAATACCGACAGCTCGATACCTTCACCTTGTAGGGAACACAAGTGTAACCCGATTGTAGTTAAACACAGCTCTCACTTGGTCTTCTAGTGCAGACCGATGTAGCAGACATTATAAGTAAGCCGCTACACCGCTACCACACGTTTAAGCGCTTGTTACGCTCGGATACGCTTTCCAAGTCTCGCTTTCCATGTGTCGACCTAGTATAGCATGTGAGACCGACTCGTCTGAGCTTCGAAACTTATGTACACTATCATTCAAAAGACTGGGATCAGGCACGAGTACAATATCTCCTACAACGTAACACGCATCATCGATCTAACCCCAAAACTTTTGAATCCTAGTGTGTAGGTGTACATCCTTTTAATAAGTTACATAACGTATTAATGAAAAAAGATTTTTTCACGTCGTAAATCGTTCGATCTAATTTCTCTATATGTATTGCTACATGACAAGAATCTTTCGTCGATATTCCCCTTCACTACTTACTAACCATCGTTGCCAGAAACGACCCGCTCGAACCACTAAATTTCATAGAGATCCAGGTGTCTTCTTGTTTCACGTAGATACAAGTTAATATACAAGTTAATATACAAGTGTGTATACACATGTATGTTTACGTGGCCGCGGGTTAGTACCATTAACCATCGCACGGTATGCACGGCGCACGTGGTCTGTATACGCGAGACAAAGACCCCCTAGAACTCTACAAAACTCATGATGGTTCGAGGGGGTGGTCAATTCTGGCAACGGTGTTACTAACCCGTATACATTAATTTTACTCATTCACGAGTAACAGCCAGATGCATCGAGTGCAACGTACTGCCAAGCTGAATGTCACTGCAAATGAATGATTTCACGCAGCAGAAAAATTAGTCCATCTGTCCGGCCACAGCCAAATTCATGGAGAGAGCAGCAGTATTCGTCCTAACGGATGCTGTATAATATCTTTCCAGGTTTACGCAGCCTACGAAACCGGTCTGGCATCCGGAACCAGCCTGAAATTACACGTGACACCTAGGACCACGGCCAGGGAGGTGGTGAACCTGGTCGTGAAACAGTTAAATATGGCGGTGGTGCTGAAGGGCCAAGAGGGTCCCATTTACACGTCCGACGAGTTGCCGAACTTCTGCCTGGTGGCTGTGATCGGCGCCCGGGAACGTTGTCTCAGGGACGATTTTCGGCTTCTTCAGCTTCAAAACCCGTGGAAAAAGGGCAGACTGTACGTGAGACAGAAACAGGACGTGCTCGCGGCCCTCGAGCACAGCAGCAAACACACCGCGTATTTATAGCATAACTAGGGAGAACAAAAGGAACAAGATAATTTTGCGTAGACACGATCTCGAGGAAGAGACGAGAGAACAACCCCACGTAAGAAATTCTCCATCTTGTTAATAATTGGCGATAGAAGCCAAAGATCATATTAGCTTAACGCGTTCTGTGAACGAACCGCAGGTCACAGTCCGTTGAATATACTTTTTCATTTCTCTTCGATCGTTATTTTCATGTCAGACGAACGGTATAGATCTACTACCATCCTCCCCGTAGTTTCATCCACGAGAATGGCTACCCACTTTGTAAACTTGATAGGCTTGGTGTCACAAAACGCGTTAACCGTTGTACATAAAGGAAACGCTTAATGGAATTTTCAGTTGTATGTCGAGGCTCTAAGTAAACTTACACGTAACTATAAATAGATAGATGTGTGCGAGAATGACACGAGCGTGTGTTTTCGAGATGAAGCTGTATTTAGGCGATGACCGTAACATTCCAATCGAGTTTTGGTCCTGCTAACCGCGAATAGTAGGCAGTCTGTGAAAACGGGATGGATAAAATACTCAGTCGTACTGCTATATTTTAGGTACCGATCTCAATGTTTAACTCGAGCGTATAAGCGGTGTTAGATGCTTCAGAGATCACATCGTTCTGAATTGTATTCGACGTGTCCAAGCGATTCTGTAAATTGAGACCTCTCGCGTTCACCTTTGATCGGTGATAAACGCGTGATCGACAGAAGTGTGTTGGCTTGGACACCTCGACGACAGAGAAAGATTTTATATTCATATTTTTCGAATCGCCTGACGGTTTATTTCCCGACGAGTTCCACTGCTCGGCTGAGCCTTGTTATCGGAAACGGGACACGGTCCTCGAGGCGGATTATTCGCATCCGAAAAAAGAGTCCCTTGTTCTTTTCAGTGTGACGGAAAATCCATCGGTTCGTCCGCGTGGCACGCGTTTAACATCGTTTTATTTGTCACGGTGATCCGCGAGGAGATTCTGGTACACGTTGTTCGGTACCATCGACGAACGGGGGAAGACTGTGAATTGAAAGGCGTCCGGAATGTTAACGAGAGTCACACTCGAGGTGCTTACTTAGGGGATACAAGGTGTCGATTAGAACCGATTGCGACCGAGAAACACGTAGGTGTGATGATGATATAAGAGGCTTTATAGACTGTTGCGTAGAATTAATTGAGAGAGTATTAGTATGATTATTTTTAAACTCTGGAATGGCACGTTTACGGCACCGACAAATGGCGGACACGAGTAATTTTAGTCCAATTTGATTTTCTAAACTTTTTTGAGTACTTAAGAAAATTGCTTTTAGATAACTTTTTTTTAGTTTTTCTCTTAATTTCTCCTGTATATTCTGTATAGGAAAAAGAAGCGGATACAACTGACTCGTGTATGCCATTAGTAGGGTCGATTCGAGAAAGTGTCGTTTGCTCTCGAGGATTTTCCTTGCGTCCACTAATGACACGCGGAGAGTCGATATATTTTGATTACCGGCATTGCTCTTTTTCGTGTTCTCTGGGCCCGATTTAGTTGGGGGAACGTGTATGATGTTCCCAGTTGTTGAAAGCATTGCAATTTGTACATTTGTATTTGGCCGAACGAACGTTGTTTCTCCGCGTTATTCTCTGTTGGAGGGATGGTGATACCATCGCATGATTCGTGGAAGAATGGTCTCGAGGAATTGGTGGTATTGTTGGAGTTCCACCCGTTCAAAGACTAAAATCGCGCGACATTAGACGCAATTTGGTGATAAATACGGTGCAGAGCGGATTGTATAATGAACGCACCCCCGAACGCACCACTACCACTGTCCAGCGTGGTCTAATAATTAACAATTAATTAGCGTCTAAAAATTGCGAAGAATATCACAAGTATCGAGGAGATTACGCAGCTTGTATCATTTTTGAAAGTTCCAAATCGAGGAACGCCCAAAAACATACACACGAACAAATCAACAAGTTAAAAACCGTTCACAGGCATATTTGATCGATTCAACGAAAAAGGTTTATTAACGAAGACACCTTAATACGAATACAATGAACGTATAATGTTTGTAAATTAGCATTAATTCGAAGATCCGTCCTTCACCGAGGGAAACCGCAAAATCGATCGTGATCGGACAGTGGTACCGGTCACCTAGGGGGGCCACTTAAGTTTAAACGAAGATATACGATGCACATATTTTTTTATCGTGAAAACAAGAGAGGAGAGGGAGAGATTTTTACTGTATTTTGACAGAGTACGCACTCGTCACTGGTTATAATACATATACAGTACGCCATTCGCGTGTTTCACCGAGGTGACGAGAAGATCTGTATGAATCGAACATGACAGTGAGAGAGAGAGAGAGAGAGAGAGAGAGATAGGGCGAGTGAAAGAGATGCAAGAAGAGAAAAACTTAACGAAAACATGTTAGGAAATTTTATTAGCTCTACCTGAGTGTTTATCGATGTTGAGTGTAAAATAATCAACCTTAGAGGTTAAGTGTTATCGCCCGGAGGAGACACCACACGAAATTGAGAAACGCCTAGATTTCTCTCCTCCTGGACTAATTGAAGAAAAAAAAAGTCGCAAACAAAGAAGAAAGCAACAGAATTACTTGTAAATATTCAAAGAAAAATCTATGTATGTATAAAATATAAATGAGAATGACCGAAGAAACGACGCGAATCGATTAGTTCTCATCCCGATCATGTTGATAACGATGTTTCTTATTTTGTTATCTTCTCATCGAGGTTCGAGCCAGTTAATCTGGATCATATAATAAGAGGATTTTGCAGGTTTTATTTTACACATCGGGACGCGTGTACAACGAGCGAGGCAGTAACTCTCTCGATGAACGGAGAAATGAACCCGGACCCACGCGACCGACAGTCCCGGTGACCCACTTCCGCCTTCTTGTTTCTCGTGTCTCATCTCGTCGTGCCCACCTACTCCTTCTTTATCCCCCACCTCGCCGGTAATTGTGCGTCTTCGAGACTCCTTCCGGTTGGTATCCAAGCTGTTGCCTGATCCCCAAGTCGGTGGTAATGAAAAACCACCGAGGGCATCCCCTCTGAGGAGAACTGGCCCTCCATGGGTCGGACAACTTCCTACTTTCAGTCGGGAACGATCGAACGAGCGCCGCCAGGTCGCCAGGCGTTCTCACGATCGTTCGTGATCGTTCACCATCGTTTTATAAATTGATATTTTTATGCTGGATGATCACCGATACGTGAAATAGAAATGATGGAAGACATTTCACCGGATATGTTGCACTTTAAGAGAGATATCATGTTTTACCTAAGAGTTTCGTTTATTAATTCCGATTTTAGGAATACTGTAAAGACAATTCAGAGGGTATACATATACATATGTATATTAAGAAAGGTATCATTTCGTTTATTAACTTCTAACTTAAAAGCTATTCAAGATTGAAATTTCTCAAGACTCTGTACGCTTTACAGAGTTTTGCACAGTGTCTCGTCGACTAAAGGCGTCATCGTTTTAGCAGGAACGTAAAACATTTTGTACAGCTTAATCCGACGAGATCGAATCAGCGGACGGGGGACAAAAGGCCCGAGAGATCTACGTACGAATCATTAATCACGGACGCCATCGTTTCGCGATAAACTGCAACGGCTACGAGCCTCTCGAGCCGGAAGTTCCAGTGTATCCAGTGTGTCGAGTTCATTGTTCAATCGAGTCACGTTTACAATTACGATAATGAAACTCGAGTTCATTCCCGTCTATCGATAACATTGATCATTCTATTTTATTCGAGATCCCTTGAATCGTTCCATCCGGGTTCGCTTACGGATAACTTTAATCTCCTTAATTCATTTCACAATTACAATTAATCTATTATATTTATATACATATAATCATTATACCACCTGAATATCTTCTTTAATTGTGAAAATAACAAAAAATATTTTACACGTAATTTCAGTAGTATTAAGTGGTCAATATTCTGCTGACGCAGTTTTTTTTTTTTTTTTTTTTTTTTTTTTTTTTTTTTAATACTTCATATGGTCACATTTAACACTAGAACTACCAGCATTGAATGTATGACATCGTTGCAAGTTAAATTGTGTGATATACATGTATAATGCAATACAGCTTAGTATAATATAATATATTGTACATATAAAGTTTATAAGAAATCAGAGGTTAATATAAATAATTCCGATGATAGTAGCAGATATCTCTAAGATTTCAATAATTTTAAAATAAAAAATCTGGAATCCGTTGATTTGACGGGTTCGGTAGTTTGAGTGTTAAATGAAACTGAAGTATTGCCATTTGAATTTTCTGGTTGGTGACGCTACCGAGTCTAACGTGCTTCTAGATCGTCACGATCGTTACGATCGAGGGTGTAAAAACCGTCGGTTACACGGCCGCCAAACGGTTTTGTGGGTGCATATACAGTTAATAGTCATTGTCAAGAGGAACGACCGTGCTCGCCGAGCGATTGGTTAACCCGCGGTGTCCGTATTCGCCCTCGGCTGACCCCGTTGTTAACTGACCCACTGACGATACCGATAGCGGGACACCGTCGAGCCACTCGGTTCACCTCTCGGTCTTTCGTTCGCGCCGAAATTTCGATGATTATACAACACGCTGAAACAAAACACAAAATATAATTACCTTACTATCATCATTCATTGATCTTTACAATCACCGAGGTTTCCATTAAAAATTATGACTAGAATGCAAAAGTTCATGGAAATTCAATAACTTTACAGAATTTTCTTTTCTGCACCAGACACTTCGAAATACTAATAATTATCCGTTAATAAGTAACTTGAAAAATACAATAAAATAAAGATTTTAATAAACTGTCATATCATTTATGTGTTATTACTATTCTGGTAAAATGTAGTAAGTGCAGAATTGAGAATTCCACCTTATTTTAACTTTTAGACATGATTATCTGAAATTGTGAATCTGCATAATCGTCCGCAGTCTATTAATAGTATAATAACTAGACTGTTGATGTTTTGTGGAAAATTACAATTTTTGGCACTGATATATAAAAAACAAAATTGGTTAGAATTTGGTCCCCTGTACTAGGAGTTTTAATGTGTTAATAATAATGGAAAAATGCTATTAAATTTTACTGAAACCTTTATACTTGTAACGCTTGGAAGTCAGGGGGCGCTATAAATGCATAAACATCCGCGGTATAATAATGATTTCACTTAAAATTTCAAATGCCCTACAGAATGAAAATTTGAATTATATTAACAGTCAGCATTCA